CTGAAACAAAGATGTAAACTACCAATAAATTTTAAAGATCCTGTTTGATATTGTTTTTAGTGCTGAAAACGAATTTAAAGCCACCTGATTAAACATAATGGTCACTGATTAAACTTGCGGGTATACAATTGAAGTTCAGTACCGTATATTTTTCCACACAGAGCATGTTACCAAAATAACCGGTTAAACTACATTTTTCCAGCTATGTTCGAGTGACTTAATTGGATGACATCGGATGGTTCTTTGATAAATAGAACTCTATAGCATTATATGTTTACCATTTGACTCATTAAATCTGTTCCTACCAAGGACTCTTTAGCCAGGGCAATGTGCAATGCTGTATCTCCGTCCTTGTCGACAGAATTTACATCTGCTCCATGATCGAGAAGGATTTCGACCATGTCCGAGTAACCTTCATTAGTGGCCAGATGAAGTGCTGATTGATTTTCAACTGTAAGCGCATTGACATCACACCCAGGCTTTCGGACAAAAAAAAAACTGTGATAGCTAGCCTTAATTAAGGACCTGTGCACACAACGACCGTCAAATTATTTCAGAATTAGAAAACGTTTAGCCATAACAATTATTTAACAGAAGAAGAAATACATGCATACACTATGTGTAGAAAGTTGACAATAATACACAGAGTTAGGCCAGCCTGAAAGCGTAGCTCCTGGGCCGGGTTGTTCAGAGCCCGATTAAGCAAACCCAGGAAAAGGTAGAATTTTGATTTGAGTTAACTTTTTGAGTAACTTTGCGGTGAGGTTTTTAGTATATTGTTTGGCCTTCTGATTTGAGTTTTAGTAATCACCTTATACACAAAACAAAGCAACAAAAAACATTTGTATGGAAGAAAAAGTTATAATTCGGTTAACTTTTAATCCCGGGTTAGCGTTAATCAGGTCCCGAATCCTGCCCTGTCTTCAACAAGTTAACCTGACATGAGCCGGCGATCCAATCGAAAACCAGCACTTGGTCAGCGGTCAACTTAAAAAAACCACATGATCTCGATGAACTGTAAACTTGAGCCTGCGATATGGTCACGTGATACTGGTCAGCGGATACTTTTTTGACAAGTGTCAATTGATCATAACCTGGATGTCCAATATCAAAGAAGTACACCTTAAAGGCTGCATGTCTGTCAACCTATTATTTGGAGTATGGCCGTCATGTCGCTCGACTCCGTCGTCGCCGTCGTGCGTACGCGCCCACGAGCAATATCGCTAGCCACGATACAGTATGGGGCTCCGCTTGACGGCCCTTCGGGCCCCGGCCGGAGCTCCGCAATAAAAATTAGCTGCATTCAATACAAGCATAGGCGATGACTCTTTAAAATATCTGAAATATTATAATTATAACTTCGTACGGGAGACAAAAACAGGAAAATAATTTTACTCATTTCGTAAATGGCTATTTTCTACCCTTTTTTTGCCAAATATAATTTACGTATACTCACGTATAACAATGAGGATGTTTACCTGCTTCAGGAGGATTTTGGCTATTTCGCGGTGGTCATTGATTGCTGCAATATGAAGGGTTGTAAATCCGTCACTTTTTGCAACATTCAAGATATCGCCGGCCTTTGCAAGAAGCTTTTCCACAGCTCTGTTAAGTTGAACACAGAACAAGTTTATTCTTCAAAAAGGCCATAATAAGGTTAATAGCAACTAGCAATATATTTTGCGATGTTGAAGCTGGTTCACACATATTATTACATATTCGAGTAAGTGACAATAAATTCTCTATCGAGTTCACACCTGAATAATAGCCATAATCTATTTCCTGTATGAACGCCCTTCACTTCGATCATGATCCTTTGTTTTT